CAAGGTGGCTGTGGGAGTTGTTGGGCTTTGTAGTAAATATTCTCGGATAGTCTCTGGCCTCAACATTGATTTTAATCGCTTCAGACCTTAAACACAGCTCCCAACTTCTCTCAGTCTTGTCTTCCCCCTGCCCCTCTTCTAAACATTCACACATCCTCTGGGTCTCAGGCACATCTTTTCTTTCTAATCTCCCGCTATTGCCTTATTTTGTCTTGCACTAACAACACCTCTGATCTCATCATCTTCTGTCTTCCACCTAATTTTTTTCCATCGTCTTTCCTTCCCCACACCCTTCTCTGCTTGTCCTTATAAGCTCCTCCCTTCCACCATCCCTCAGTTCTGACGAAAGGTCATTGACCTGAAATGTTAACTCACTTTCCTCTCTCCAAGATGCTGCCTGACCTGCTGAGTGTTCCCAGGAACATTTGTTTTTATTTCAGATTTCCAGCATCTGCAGTATTTTGCCTTTTGAGGATTCCATGTTAACTTAAACTTGGATGGTTGAACCCAATCCAGTCACAACATATTTTGTACATTAAAGATGGAAAAGGTGGGGAAATTATTGAAAATGTCAAGGTTTACTGCAGTGAAAAGTCTCACTGAAAGAAGAACTTGCATTTATAAAGCACCCTTCATGTGGGGTAGCGTCCCAGAGCGCTTAAACAAAAGAGAAAGAGATCACAGGACATAGCATATGTTGCACAACTGTCAAGCAGATGTTTGTAACACCTCAGGTCAAATGTCTAGTCTGAAGGACATAGCTCTCCCCATATGCTATTTGGATCACTCCTGGAAATTGATTTCCTATTTACTTTACTCTCCCTGGATGGAACACTTGTGTGTATTCAAGAGAGAAGGGACTCCTGTGATGTAAGCCCAACTAATAACTCTCCACACTGAAAGACAATAGACATGTCTGTACCTCAGTCACACACTATTAGAAAGGATCAGGGTTGGTCATTAAATCCTGCTAAACCCATTCTTTCTGCAGTACCACACACCAGCTTCAGCTGTTTCACAGTAATTTATTAAAAATGTGCAACAAACATGTAAAGGAAACAACTGAAAAGGTACAAACCAAAATTGTGTGCATGATCCTCTGACATCCAGACGACAAAAATATGTTTTACAACACTTGAAATGGAAAACTTTTTTTTCCATCTTTACCAGTCATAAGCCTATTTCCTTCTCCATTCTGGAAGTGCCTATTTTGTAAGTACTGCAATTAGTATTGCACATTTCCACACTCATCACTTCTTTCCTTTCTGCTGTTCCCCATTTACTTACAACAACGCTAACAACTTGCATTTATATAGCGCCCCTTATGCAGGTTAGCGTCCCAGAGCGCTTGACAGTGGTGGAGCATGACTCTGAGACGGGGGGAGGGGGAGGTAGGCACGGTCAAAGAGGAAGATCTTCAGGCGCGACCTGAAGATGGGGAAGGGATAGAGGAAGAGTGTTCCAGAGTTTCAGGGAGCAGTGACTGAAAGTATGGCCACCGATGGTGGAATGGAGGGTTGAGGGACATGCAGAAGGCCAGAGGAGGTCGAGCAGAGACAGTGGCTAGTGGGTTGAGGGTAGGCAGGTCGGAAAGGTAGGGAGGTGCCAGGGCATGAAGGGATTTGAAAATGAGTGTGAGGATCTTGAAATCGAGCCATTCAGTGATAGGGAGCTAGTGGAGCTTGGTGAGAACTGGTGTGATGGGGGTACGGAGTTTAAGATGGGTGAATATGTGGGTGGCGGCGTTTTGGTTTAACTGGATCTTGTGTATGGTGGAGCTGAGGAGACCGGAGAAGAGGGCATTTGAGAAGTCCAGTCGGGAGGTGACGAACACATGGACGAGTGTTTCGGCTGCATCTGGGGCAAAGTACAGTCTAAGGAAGGAAATGTGGTGGAGGCAGAGGAAGGTAGTCCAGTTAGTGGCTGGATGTGTGGAAGAAAGGACAGTTGTGGGTCAAAACTGATGCCTAGGTTGCTCACCGGTTTGGTGAGTCTGAGGGATAGGCCGACGAGGTTGAGAAGGTCAGAGCTGCAGGACTGAAGATATTGACGGGAACCAAGCAGTATGGTTTCCGTCTTGTCAACAAAGTAAGACAGTTCATTCATATTAAGATTCTAACCAAGTTTAGTTTGTTTCCATAGACTTCATTTTTTTTCCCCCTTCACTATTAGAATTCTAAATACTTTATGATGACTTTACACTTATGATGAAACACCATCTCTATTTACACAAAGCATCCTTTGGTGAAAGTTTCCAGTGATTATTACGCAAAGCACCTTTGCGGTTGTGCAACATTCATTAGTGATCAAAATTTTCGAGGTTAAACACATTGAAGCTCACCGTAAGATGTCCCATATTTAGTTACACAGACTTGTTGACCAATTTTAAAAAATAGTTTTACATTGCTTCTCTTAGTATTTCAGTGGACTGGGTGATGTTGTACTGAGGAATTTGGAACAGGAAAGTTCCAAGTTCAATCCCTGATCTGTGCTTTGTTATCTGATCTCAGCCAGTGCTGTCAAGAGTTTCTACAATTGGTCTGGGAAGGAAGAACAAATTGGTCAGAGTCCCACACCTTCTGATCAATATTCAGTGAGGATTGCTGCAAGTGCTGGAGGCAAGCACAGGATAGGGCCTAGCAGTCATAGTACTTGATATATTAGTCTACAGGCACACACCGTCCAGACTTGCATATTAAGAATAGTTATTTAAATAGAGTGCTTGGGGCCTGCAATCCCAGTTTGAGTCAGACATTATGTGAACAAAAATTGTTGAACATAATTCCCATTTTAATGCCTCTTGAAAGAAAAACATTAAAACATTTCAAATGTTTAATTGTGCGGAACTGAAAAAAAGTCTGAGCAGATTCATGTGGAATATTGCACAAATATGAAATGGAAGGAGAGGAGGTTATGTCCCTCAGGACCTATTCTATGTAACAGCTTATGCATCAAAACATTCAGGGGGATGTGGCTCATATGGCAAATGTTGACTTTCAAAAGAAAGTTTTTCAGTTGTCCCTTTTATATTTATCATCTGTTACTAATTTAGTGATTCGTTAAAATTGGTCATTGGAGTTTAATGTAGACAAAAATACAACAGTAAAATGAAGGAATCAATGAAGGGATGTCTGAGAAACTGATTTCATGTTTTCGAAGTTCACTTAAGACGAATAAAAATGAAAACTAATAATCTAGAACTTTGAATGTGGGACAAAGTGCTTTTATTTATTTTCATCTCACCAAACACCAAAAGCAAGCTGAAGGAATAGGTTACAATCTACTCGGTTTAAAAAGTACACTCAGAATCAGTTTATACAAAACTAGAAAAATCACACAGTTTCACCAAACAAAATTAAAAGTTACGGCATCATATAGTGAAACCTGAAGTTAGTGGCTAACCAACAGAATTTTTAAAAGTTCTGGCAGCTAAGTATTCCTTATGAAATCCAGGACACCGATAAACATTTAAAATCTAATACAATTTTACATACAAGTGAAAAGGTTATTCAAATATTTGTCCCCCATTATGCAACTGGATTGAAGTGACATAAATAATACAAATCCATGAACAAGTTAATGCCCCTATTTTGATCCTTAGAGTCAGGAATCAATAATACTACATTGTACCTGTGCAATAAATCTGCTGTTAAAGTATTATCGATCCATTGGTTCTTCATCCAGAAATACGTTACCATGGTGCAATTTTTTNCTACATAAATCACACTTAACTATTTACAGTGCTTTTACATGCAAAAAGAAAAAAANTCACGAACAGGATGAACTTACATGTGACATAGTATTTTCCCCCCACCACTCCAAACACTCTGCCCCCAAGTGATAGCTTTGTCAGTCGTCTATTACTGACGAACCAGCTTCATAATTCTGATAAAGAAATTTGTTTCAAATGCAATATTTGATGCATCCAAATATGAATATGAAATACAAAATTGATCCAAACTCTTATTTTACACATAGCATGCTCTTCACTGTGGTCTGAATTAACAATATCTTATTTTCTTTGAATGTAATATTCCCCAGGTAAAAGACAAGGGTAAGACTTAGATAGGACTATAGATAGGACTATAATGTGAAGTTAAACAATATAGCTTACTTCTGAATACCACATAAAATATTGTTCAGCTCTAAAATACAGTAACTGCACTTTACAGTAAATCTTGTGAAACATTTTAATAATTATTATTATTATCTTGTGAAGCATTTTGAGATGTCATCCCATTGTGAAAGGTGTTATTTTAAATACAAGGACTATTGTATTACTATTACTGTATTGTGTTATAAACACGGATTATAGGTCAGTACCAGTATGCAACACTTGTTTTAAAAATTCAGTCCTATGCACTCAACAATATCAAAGCTTTCCAAACTCAACTATACCAAATAATGGAAGACTGAATAATCAAGCTCTACTTTCCCAAATATTCAGACCTTCCAGACATGTAGAAGGCTGGTTGTACAGAATAAGTGAATTCATATGGAAAGAATCAAATAGTCGTAAACCAAAGAGCCAAGTCATGAGATTAATGAAACATGGTGTTCCAATGAAAACAAGAGAACTTCTTTTAAAATTCGTTTGAACCACCTCAGCAAGTTTAGGTGGTAATAATTTAAAACAACCAATCTGGTCCTTCAATTCTTTTTGGTACCAGTAATGATTAGCAAGTGTTCAATTATTTATCTCAAGAGATAAGTCTAAGTCACACAGATGATATGAATGGGGGTAAATGGAGAATTTCATATGTAAGTAGATAGTTACCATCTCTCACTAGTGTTGAGAACAAATTCCACTTGCAATGTGTTGCCTGTGTTGCCAATATTTCAAGTGAAGGAAAACGAAAAGTAGTTTATTTGTTTCTTAGCCCAAGAAAATCAATTTGAAGAATTTTTGTCATTGATTGTGATCAACCAGCAAAAATACAACCTTTACTTTAGTTCCACTGACTAAATCTTCATAAGAGCTTTATAAAATTTCTGGTTCAAAACAAAACAAATGGCTGATTAAACCTGCATCTAAACCAAACAGACAAAGTTAATCAGATTGCTCCAAGGGGTTCAAATAAATTGTTGTCAGGATGAAGAATATCAGCAAGCATATTGATGCTGGTTCCCATAATACATTCCCCCAATTTTTTTTAACTGGAATCATAGAGTACACAGTCCTTTGGCTGTCTCTGAAAAGATTAAGCCCTTCCCCCAACTGATTTTGAGCATACTAGAAGCAAACTGAAACCTAACTCAAAAAAATTAAATCTCCAGTTTGTTTAACTCTAAGTCCAATTCTGCCATATTCCCTTGATGTTGGCACAAATTCCTTAAACTTAGACTTGACCCTTTTATATTTTTATAAAAGCATATATGTTTTGGAACAGAAAAAGGCTACTCAGCCCATTCAGTCATTCATGTCAATGTTCAGAATCATTCAGTTTGGAAGCAGATTCACTAGGTTACTAAAAATGGCACATGTTCTTAAATGTGCAAATGTTCACTTTCATATTGTTTGGCAAACTTCCTGAGCTCCAACTGTTGTTAAAACATTTCATTGTTGTTTTAAAAAAAAATCAGCACACCTTCCTTGTTTTTACTAGTTTACTTTGGTATTTGACAGAATGTCCTGTATGTCCAATAACATATACATCAAACAGATAGATTTTTCCTGGCTCCAATCCTCTGACTTCCTCTGTAGTCACTGCACGTAGCTTGTTTAAGTTGTGAAAATACTTGCAGTGCACCTTCTCCGCCAAATTCCTCACCTCTGGCCCAAAGCAGCCATTTGCCTTCCTTATTTCTTTTTTCGCACGTTCCTGCTCAATCTCTGTTTTGTAGAGGCAGTACTTGTTCCGTTCTTGTGTTCCAAGCCAGGCAATGGTGACTGAGTTACAGGTCCTTAGTTTATCAAAAGTTTTTAATTTCAGACTTTCTGGCAGCTGGGGAAAGATAGGTTTGTTGAAATGCGTAGATACGAGAATTTTCACAGAAGCCTCAAAAGACTCCATGGATTTTATCCCAACTACGTATCTTGCTTTGGCTTTTCCTCTGAGTTGGAAATGTTTCAAACTTTCTATATTTTCAGAGACTAAGAGCTTCCCATTCCTTTCAATTTGAACATGTACCTCTCCACAAGAGTAAAAGGTGAACTGCACTCTCCTATTCCAAACACCAGCCCTGAAGCTATAAACTTTCTGCTTCTCCTTTCCGACATACACTTGAATCATATTTCCTTCCTTCAGCCCAAGAACTTTGGGATCTGGCTGCTGGAGAGTTTTTGCAAAGGTTCCTGTGTATGCAGTGCTAGTGTTGGTAAGGATATTCACAGCAAACACATCAAAATAATACTGGGTGTTTGGTTGTAGGTCAGACACCACATAAACATTTTTATTACCAATGCATTGTTGTATGATATCTAATTCTTTTTCCCAGAGTAATGGACTATTAAGTGTACTTGACTTTGAAGGGGACAGCAATTCGACATGGTAACCTTTTGTGTTTGCAACATGGATCTCCTGTAAGCTGGAGAAGATGGACACGACTGGTATATCTGGCCATAGATCATCAGAGGATTCCACCTGAGCCTCAGCAGCACATAGACTTTTGTAATTGTGTTCTTGGTTGATAAGGAGACAATATTGAATGTTTTCTTCATATCGTAAAATTGAAGGGCTTGGTTTCCAGGCTAGGGTCACCATTGTCTGCCCCACAGATGTAACATCGACACGAGGGTCAAAAGGCAGCTCTGGGTATGGTGGATCAGTTTGTGGGCTGGTGGTCATATAAACTCTGATACGAGTGTTCTTTTCAGTAGAAGTAAGCTCCAACCTATAGAAGGTTGAATGTGATGAGACACTCACATATGTCTCCACCGCATTTCCTTTATAGATAAAAAGATCTCTCATAGCTTCCCAACTCTGCTGATGTTTCTGCAACTTCCCATGTTTATATGCATCTGAAATACAAAATATTAGTTGCTACAGTACCTCAATCACCTGTAATTATTTAAGAAATGATCAATTATTAAATAATAGTAGTTCCAGGCAAAACATCTCTCAGTTTTGTACTGTATGTTTCATAGAAAGAGAAAGACACAACAGGTCATTATTTGTAAATAATGGATTTCAAAGTTTTTTTAAAAAATGCCTCAATACCATCTCATAATTCCATTTAATTTGCTTTGCAAATTTTCTACACCCTCCTCATGTATGTCTTAATTGTTAAGTTCCTTGTACATCTTTGCCTTTAGCAATTTACAAATTTCATATTTGGATTAGTTTATACAACAACAACTTGCACTTATATAGTGCTCATCACGCAGGGTAGCGTCTCAAAGCGCTTTATAACATTGGTGCAGTTACTTTGAGAAGGTCCTAAAAGTCAAAAGTATAGTTGTCAGATTAAGTGAATAACTGACCTCCATCAGAACCTTTACCTGCCGCCTTTTTGTTGGAGTTAGCAGCAGCCAGGTGCCATTCTAAAGGTGCATCACATGGAGTCACAGTGATAGAAAATGGGGTAGTATCCGTCTTCAATACAAAGTAATGCCTGTGGAGAGAGGAGAAAGAAAAAGAAAGAAAAATAACCCTCCAAAACACATGTCATTAGCATCAAATAAAACATATAAGTTAATAAATGGCATTAAAGCTCACACAAGTTGAACAACTTTATTCCTGTGTCCATCTTGGTCCTCTAATAGTGCATATCTTGGTCATTATTGCTTAGCCATCTCTCTGTATACGTTACATTATCAACGTCCTAGCTTTATTGGAAGGGTGATAAAAGTTCTGCTCTGGGGAAAAAAAATCATCCTTGTTAATTTAGAATGTGGGGCTCTAGGCTATCATAGGATCTGAGTCCAGTCCTTGTGCTTACCTTTGTGGCAAGTTTCTAAAGAGAAAGACAGTTATTTCCATCCCATCTGGAAGCACTGGAGAGTAGTTGTACAGTGCTCGATCTGAGGTACCATCCCACCCTCGACCTTGAGCCTGACACATGAGCATGAATAAAAGGCAGAATGTCTTGCACACAGCCATTTCTAGTAGTTCCTGTCAGAAAATATACAGGTTATACTTGTGAGAACAGCGGTACCTGGAACTTATTTACATATCATGTACCAAATCACATTTTGCCCAAGAGCAAGTATTGCATAAGTCTCTTGATCAGGATTTTGTTGTATCTTTGTTATAGTTAGGTGATTGAGATACTGTAGTAACTAATCTTTTACATTTCAGATGCATATAAACATGGGAAGTTACAGAAACATCACCTTATCACCATTTTTTGTTGGGGGGTGGAATAGAAGTTCCCAAATTCAACTTAAGAAGGAAAAGTGAAGGAAATCTTGAATGAGCCTCTCAAGTTTTTCATTCTCTTTTTAGAAGATTTCAAAGAATTATTTTAGAAGCTATCCAGAGACTGTTGTAAATAACTCAGAGGAAACATCCTTTAACAGATGAGATTTATAACCTGAAGGATTATTACCTCAGGGCAGCCATAATCAGCATCATAATAGTAAATACATCAGTTATAATCCTGTAAATAGGCATCAGCAAGGATCTGAAGGGGTCCGCATCCAGAAGGGTTTGGGATTTACATTCAAAGATCAAATAAAACTGAACAATCTTTACATTTTATAGTGCCTTGTCATGTCAAATGCCTTAGAGTGCTTGCCAGAATTGTATTGTGAAGTGTAGCAACTGTATCTGTGAGTGAATGCAGCAGCCAATTTGCACACACCAATGTCCCACAAACAGCTATGAACAGAATTGACCAATTTTTCAGAGAGTTTGTTGGCCAGGATGCAGGGAGAAATTCTCTTCTCTTTTCAAATACTGCTGTGGGATCTTTAACACCTGATCAGGCAGACCAGTACCTTGGATTAAAGTCTCATCCAAAGGGAAGAAGAAGCCGACTCTATACTAAGAGTCTGATCCTCGACCTAATGCACATAACATTTCAGACTAATGAATTAAAGTTTCATCTCAAAAGTTACCGGAAAATCAAAAATATACCAAACTATTTTGTGCGGCCAAACATACATATTCAGTTCAAAAGGTTTACACCAACCATGTATTAAGTTGTAAATTGTAATTAATAGAGGAAATAGCATGCAGTCCACATAAATATTTTGAATTCCACAGCACTAAATCAGTTTGCATTCATTCTCATGGACCAGGTCAATTTCCTTTCTTTCCCATTATATAGTATTCAAAGGAACTGTATCTCTTCTCATTCATGCTCAATGTACAGATTTCCAAAGGATCAAGTCACATTTCTTTTATGATCACTGTTTATGTCCTGTTCATTCCTATCATACAGAAATCAAACCAAATAATTTTCTTTCAGTCCAGTGACACAAAACCTAATCGACCAAATCCAAACTGTAGGTAGAATTAATACATGCATATAATTAAAAAAATGTTCAAATATTCCAGTTATGTTTAGAAGGGAGAAATGCATAAAATAAATGAGATTTATCCATTTGAGTGGACATGTACTAGAATTATTGAAATTGTATTTTCATTTTTAACATCTGAATGCAAAATCGGACACAGTTACTTGCAAGTGCCCCTTTTGCAAAGTGGCCCCCATTGACAAGATATAAAGTAATGGAAATAGAATTTAAAATATCACTTCAATGCAAAGAGTGCACTTAGGAGTTGTGTCCAAAACATATATGGTTCAAGCCTCTTTTTCAAACGAAACAGAGACAAAGAAGAAGTTGCATTTTACAAACGAATTCAAGGCGGAGGAGCTCAGAAAAGAAAATATTGTTTGGCAAAGTTAGTTAAGGGTTGATGTAGAATCATACAATACAAGGATCTGTCCATGTACCAGTCAGTCCTAAAGTAGGAGAGAATTTATGCATTACTTAACATTAAGTTATTGAAACATTTTGAAGAGGGAAGCACCAGAATTTTTAAAATTGTAAACACAAATATATATAAATAATATCTACATAAAAACAATAACATTACCTGAGCAATACAATTCCAGTGAGGTCTTGTTTTTTCCTCAAACAACACAGCAATCAGATATTTCTCAATTCCTTTCTGAATTGTTTTTCCATCCAGACAAGTTAATAGCCACAAAACTAAAAACTATGGCTAAAATCAAATTAGGTTGCTGTTGTGAAAGCCTAGTGTCTGTCTGTGGCAGTCCCCAGCAGTAAGAGTAATGAATACAAGCACAGCCTAATCCTTGTGCTGCTATGAGATTTACTGGGATGGAGCTGATATGTGCGGAGAAGCACTCGTATCCACATCGGGTCCAATCCACATCTATCCAATTAAATAGTGCTTTGGTCTGACATCACAGCTGCCTGCAGTCAGGGGACATTCCATCTGTTCCAGGATGCTCCGTAATAACTCAGACAATTCCCAGTGGGAAAGAGTGCAAGGACCAGGAATTTTACGAATGCTAAACAGATTGATGAGCATAGAGGAGTGTGTCGGTTTAATTGAGCAATGATAAGAGAAGGTGCGGATTTCTGAGAGTTCAAATTGAAAACAAACATTGCACTTTGGTGCTCAAATGATCATTACAAAACAAAAGCACAAGCAAATGCATTTTGTTTACTATACAATATCCTGTTTACTTTATTAAAAATCAATTTGCCAAATGATAAACTTTCAGACCAAATATTTTGAAGACCTTTTTCTCATTGGCCAGAAATCAGTTTCGCAGAGTTCTGTAACAGAGGAAGTTGCTTTGCTCTGGGATGGAACTGTTTACTGTGTTCTCTTGTCATCTTATCCAAGAAACAGTGAAGCTACCCCGGCAAAACATAACTGGTGAGACATCTTGTTGAGAATTAAATCTTCTGCCACTGGAGCAACTGAGCCACACATTTATATAAAGATAACAGGATCCAATTAGGAGAGCTGTTTTATAATGGGACCAGCATGGAAAGCTGGTCAAATACATTTTATTTTTTGTTAGTCATCCAGCAAACCCAGGCAGTAGTTATTGGCAGATGGGTTTCCACTGAAACACATAGACTTGTTTCAGATTAGGAGGGAAAGATTCCTTTCACACACATTGACACCAGACCAACCTAATTCTGCAGTTCTCAGAGGAATCTTATAAATATTTGATGTTTCCTAAAGAGTCTAGAACAATACTTGGGAACACGATCTGCATCTGAATTATTCTGATGCTGCCGAGCTTTCTATATACTGATGCCAAAGACTTTCAACAACAGGTTAAAAAAAAGTATTGCAGTTGTCATAATATTAATACTAAAATAATCTTTGCATTGGATTTACCATTGCATCATAAAACTTCTCAAAAAAGCACTTCATGGGATTTCACTGTAAAGTTAGTGATTGTATTTGTAGGCTATTACAATGAACATGAATCAAAATCCATACTATGTTTTTCTCCCTACTGAAGAGAATCAATGAAGGCCAGATGGATACACGGTATTAACTTTGTGGAGTTAGATACAATATTAAACTTCTTCACTAAGTTTAGATTATGCTGTCTGCATCCAGAGATCATAACAATCCAGAACGATCTGATTGAAGTGGAATTGAACTCTGCACACACTTTTGGTTTAAATACCCTACTTTGTCCAGAGGAATAACACATGATTCTTCTATTAAACTACTGAAGGCTACAGTACGTTGATGCAATAGTTATAAAGAACAAGGGAAAACATTTTCCACCATTCAACGTAAGTATTTTCCAGCATTTTTGATGAAAACATGTTTTTATTACATAAAACACAAGAAATTGTGTAAATTTTGAAGGTACAAAGTAAAAAAAATGCAGCATTTATGACACCTTATTTAAACATTGGATGCTGCTTGGTTTAATTATACACATCCTTAATTGTTCTTTAGAGACATTTAAAATTGATACCTAGGTGTCATCATAGACTCTTCACAAGGAAAAACCAAAGCAGTTAAAATGAATAGTGAGATTGGAGAATATCTGTACTATGTGTGAGTTGAAATTGAACAATAATAATGGCCATATATGTACTGTCCATAAAGATTGAATAGCAATAAAGGACAGTGAGCATTAGATGAATCATAAGCATGGTACTAACCTAAATAATCTCCTATCCTCCAATATTTAAGCCTGGATTTACAAATCAGTATTCCTGAACACTTGGAATTACATTTTTGCATCATTTGTACATTAAACACAAACTGGACTTCAGAGAATCTTAAATCCATCCTTGAATATAATCATACTTCAAGCCTAATTAGGGCAAAACCTACTTAGATGCAATAAAAGTTCTTTTGTAGCAATCAAAAAAATTATAGTGTCTAAATCATTGAACATGTAACTGATTGGAATCTCTGGAATGAATCGGCTATTTTCTAAATAGCATCTTCGAAATTATGTCTAAAACTTTAAGACACTTTTTTTTCAAAAGTGTTTTGATGAATAATAATAATATTTCTTGCATTTGATATAGTGCCTTATCACACCATCAAAATATCTCAAAGCACTTTACAGGATACGTAAAATGTTTTGACTGTGTATTTTTTGTGCCGGCAGTTTGCGCACAGCAATGTCCTACAAACAGCCATGGAGTGAGTGAGCAAGTGACCAATCTAGTTTATTGGCTGTTTCAGCTATGCTCCCTTTAAAGAGACAGAAAATCTTTGAAGCTTGTAACGTTAGAGGTTTGACTCCAGCCCATTAATTCAATTGCTCATTCAACACAATTAGTGGCAAAAGTTGTGCTGGAATGCATGCACCAATGGATTTTTTTTCTTCAAAAAAAAAGGACCGACAGGAAAATACAGCAATTTGGAGAGTTCATCTGAACAGTCCCAAGCTAAGCAGTTTACTGTTCATCTCTAGCTTGTGGCCAGTCAGTTTCAGTTCCAGCTTTCAAACCTGAAGTAACAGAGAACAAATCGCTTCCATATCAGCGATCAGAATAAAGCAATTTCAAGCTTATCAGTTTACTGAAGCTGAATTTGAAACTTTTTCCATTTCATTAAGCCGTCAGTCAGAAGTGCTAACCTGTCAACTTCTGATACAGTAGAACTATGTCTTTTGCATATGAGGCTTCACTGGAAAG